ACTTTTACCTTCAGTTTTCATCTCCTACAATTGTCAGATTACAGCTGAATAATTAGATTTAAAAACTTCAAAAATGCATTTAAGCTGGGTAAATGATGACCACAAAAAGTATAAAAATAAATGATATGTTTTGAACTTCTATTTCATTAATAATGATGATATAGTTTGTCATTTTTGTATTTCTTTCCTTCCTGTTTTGTTAAGGTAAACATGTTGGTCAGCACTGACACATGTTCATTTTCTTCACTTAGGTGGATTAAAATTAAAACTCTGTTCTTTATTTCTATGTTGCCATAGTGAGTCATGGTTTATTACTGATTTTATTTAGAGGTCAGACATTTGTAGGTCTGTTGATGTAACAAAGATTACTCAGAGAAGGGAAGTTATTAACAAGAAAAGAAGCACATTTGAAATTGACCACAAATAGAGGGGGAAAAATTAACTACATTAACTACAAGTTGTAAGAAGATGACTTGGCAACTGTTGTTTCACTAATTTGTGCCTTCTTGTCTCCTCGTCCTGCTGCCTATGAGGGAAAATTTATTTTCAGCGTGTCTTGCTAAAGTTTATCACAAGTTGTGAAACTGATATGGAGGACAGAGGAAAGAGGAAGCATGCTAGAGGAGCTATAGTTGTGTATGTTTTATTGAAGTGTTTTGGGGGTTGTTTTAGCTATAACAGAGGTGTGGCACAAAGCTGGAATATACCAGTCATGGTGGGAGGACTCAGCAGCCAGACCTTTTTACCTAGAAGTCATTTCATTATTTAAGATCAAACTTTGTACCCTTCACTGTTCCTATAAACTTTCTTGTCTCTTTGTGCTTTGTTGTGAATTGAACTGAAAATTAAGCTAAATAGTTGTTTAAAAATACATATATTTAAATGTTGATCAACAACCTGTCATTTCTTATCTAGTGACTTTTTATTTTTATTCATCACCTTTTGGGAGAAATTATTAGAAGCATCCTGTTTTACTTTAACTTTAGCGTGTGGGCTAAAAGTAATCGGTATGTTACTGCTGCCAGCTGCTTAGAGGCTGCAGAACAGATAACTTGTAACTCTGATAAAGGAGCTGTTCTGATAAAGTGACCCAATTACGGAGTATTTTTAAAGTCTCCTATTCCACATCCTCCAACGAAACTCAGCTGCAGTGTCATTTCCAATAAAACAAGCCCAAAAAAGGAGCCTGTGTCTGGTGAATGTTCTGATATCCAAAAAGAAAAATCTTCCACTTGAATGAAAATTTGTTGATGTTTTCAGACATGGCCCTCAACTTACTAAACCACCCCCCTGCAACTGTATCTCTGTTCTTAAAGTGGTAAGCACCTATTTTATCTCCTAATCACAAACAGTGCAATTGTCTTGGGTGGTTAGCCATGAGTAAACATAACTGAAATGTGCATTATTTCTACTCCTGAAAGGATCAACAAAAAATCTCTATGAAATATTAATTAAACATGAGCTAAATATTAAACTCAAAATATACAGTAGGGATTTTGCGCCTATAGCAGCTGGTGATGAGAACGTCCGCTAAGATCCATAGAGACGCAAAAGGAGTCTCAATGATTAGAGTCGTAATTACAGTGAGTCACCACTAGATGTCAGCAGATCGCAGGATTTCTTTTCCCCAGACATAATTCTGTTAAACTTTCTGTGCCATGATGACATCCAGTTCAGTAAAAAAGTAACTTTTATACTATTAAAGTTATTTTTCATCTCTTTTTTTAAACTATTAAGGCTTTTCTACTCTAAAGTTTATATTAAAACTAGCAGTAGCACTCACTGGCCTATTTATTAGGGACACACGGCAGTGTGACTGTGACATAGAGATCAAAAAAAACTTTAGACATCAAAAATTCAGACGGTTTGGTTAAATTACATCTCTGCCTTGTATTACTTGAAGTGCCAGGTAGCTTTGTGGTCACTTTTAAAATCATTCTATCTCTAAAAGTCTGGCCATTAGTGAAAGGCTACTGTGCAAATATTTACACTCATTTTATCCCAATGCCAGTCACATTTTGTCTTTTCGTCATACTGTGGGTATGTGTAGGAGGTGTAGGTATGAGTCTGAAGGTGTAACCACAAATAAAAATTCCTTTGATTTTGATCAATTAATTCTAGGTTTATGAGAACACATCAGTTTTCTGGAAGATGTAAATTACATACTAATCAATGTATATTCATAATTACAATACTGTACTTAAAAAAA